ATGTATCATCCCATCACCAGCCAAGGTCCCCTCAAGATCTCCAATAATTCGCGCTATCCGAACTTCTACTCTTTGAACTTCCTGGAAGAGAGTTCTAATGAAATGAGAAGCGGTTCATGTCGAAACTTTCACACGTTTCTAGCTCTTCCGCAACACCGGCAAGTCCAGAAGAAATCTTGGGTCGGATTTCTATTGGTTTCTGCTCTGCTGCAAGCCTGCAACCATATATATATATATATATAAAACATGTAATTATCATACAGTGAAGCTAGTAACAATGTACTAGTTTCAATATTAATTTCAGTTTTCGACATTTTTGATCCCATTTAGATCCTAAATTTTCACAGAACTACAACTAGATGGTATTGATTTTTAGTCGGAAACTGTTGCGAAGGTCATGTTCTTGGTGAACTTTCACTAACTGGATTAAGAATCGAAGCTTACCATTCCTTCGCAGAGGTCATCAACCTTCCCTTGGAGGGACTGATACCAGCCAAAGGCAAACAAGGGGAACTAGGGTTTAGGGTTTAGTTGGATTCGCTTGATACCCATAGGGTTTAGGGTTTAGGGTTTAGTTAGATTCGTTAGATACCCATTTCATTTTTGTGTTAAAATAGTGGGAAAATAGCAGGATGAAATGAGAGATATAGAAAGTCGAACAATGATGGTGTATGAGATGTAGAAAAAATGTAGGGATCAGGATCTTCTCCTGAGTTAAGGGTGAGGATCCTCCTAAGCAAGGTCATCGGGCTGTTGAAATTTTATCCAACGGTTACAATTATTATAACTTTTAATAAGACATCCTGTTTGTAGCCGTTGGATAAAATTTCAACGGCCTGATGACCTTATTCAAGAGGATCCTCACCCTTAAATCAGGAGAGGATCCTGATCCAAAATGTAGAACAAAAGGTACGTACACTGGAACTCTTTCTATCTCATGATTAAAAGAATGAACTGGAAACTAAAAACAAAATTGTTACAAAACAACCTTGATAGTTCTGTGAATGTCATGTTCATTTTTCAACAACATACAAATTGAGTCTCTACGTGATCAATTTTCTAAGAAAACTGTAGGGTGAAATTATCCACCCGCTTATTTTTACCTAATACACACTTTTTAATTTTTAGCCGTCAAATTAATTGAGTTGAAATTAGTATTGTTTGACCCGGAACTAGGCTTGAGATCCACTATAGAAAACCAGTGCACCGCTCCACATCCAATTCAGCTCCACGCTAACTTACGCCGGAGGCGCGTATCTCTCACTATAAATACCTCTCCATCTAATTTCCGAAATTTCTTAATTTTTCCATCTTCTTCTCCAGAATTCGATTCCCAAATCTGAAAACCCTATTTTTTCAAATTCGAGATTCAACCGCCCTAACATTTCTGGAAATTAGCAATTCGAAGCTTAAACTAAAACCACACCAGAAGAAGCTCATTTTCAAATTCCATGGGAGAATTGAACATGGAGGACATGCCTCTGCCGGCACTTTTCGAGCAAGCTCGGAAGATCCACCTGGGGGCGACGGAGTCCGGCGACGGTGTCGATCAGGTACACTAATCTACACCATAATTTCATAGTCTCGTTCATTTTTTTTCAAAAAGTTTTAATTTTCGTTTTTGTTTCGTAATTAATTTAACTGATTTGGGGATTACTGGTAGGAGGAGATTAGGAAGGGATGCAGAGCCTTGGAGAAGTGCGATGAAATGATAAGCAATCTGGGTTTGTTCTCAGCCAATGAGACCAAGGAGGATATCAGCACCACCAATCTCAAATATCTTCTGGTAATTCTTTTGGGTATTTGTTTTTAAAGTCGAAAACTTTGAATGATTGTGAAAAATCGGCATTTAGTAATCATCTGATGGAATAGTTTGGAAATTTTGGATTTTTGGTTTGAATTTATTGAGCTAACTTGTGATGGGGTTTTGATTACAGGTGCCATATTATCTAGGGGAGTTAATCGAAAAGGTTGCGCAGGATGACAGGATATCGGTTCTTAAGGCTTCCCAGGCTAAGTTAAAGGTGAAGCATTTTCATTAGTTACTTGCCGAAAAAGCAATACTGCAGTGGGCATGTCTTTGCAGTCTTGCTAGTCAGTGTCTTTGTATCAGAATATGTGTTGATTGGTTGGTTTCAGGGTTATGTTCCTGTTAAAACTAACTAGGATGGTGGCGTGTTGCAGGAGTTTATTTCTATTTGCGAGGCAATGGAACTTGTTCCAAAAGAGGAGTTAGAAGCATCTGCAAAAGATGGCCCAAATTCACATGTTGATCGAAGGGCACTGAAGGTACTTTAGTTTTCTTATCGTCTTTTTTAAAAAAGCATGAAGATCCTAACTCAAATTTCATGGATACTCATGACTTTAATAATTGCATTTTGTTGTTCTGCCGACTGTTTTACATGTTGCGTGGCAGAACATGTGAAAGTATAGGCTTGGTGTTGTACTTTGTTGCTTATGCTACTTGCTTCTGTATCCAGATTGCTCGATTCAAAAGGCAAAGAGCTGCAGAATCGAAATTGCTGGAAATTAAGGAGCGGAAAGAGCGAAGAGGGCGTTCAACTAAAGCATCTGCCTTGTCAACTCGTATTGAGGCAGGAGAGGAAGATGTGCTGGATGATGACGGAGAGGAGGAGCGAGAGGTTTGTAGATTTATTATTACATATCCTCTTTACTGAAATGTTGATTGGTTCTACATCACAACGTTCTTGTAAGTTTACAGTTTAATTACATAAGCTGTCTAATTAGAACCCTTGTTTTTGCAGGCTTGGTTTACTACAATCTCTTTGGCAGTTAGTAAGGTTAGTTTATAGCTTAAAGTAATCCTCCACATGCAGTTGTTTTTAATTCACGTCAATTCATACTCATGTCTTTCTGCCATGCAATCTTGTTCAGGCTTTTGATCTGTTGGAGATGCTAAAAAAAGAGGAAGAAATGCTTGTAGCTTTTAAGGAAAGGCAATCAAAGGTATTAATATTAACACCGTAACTTAAGATTGGTGACATTTATTGTATTATTATCAGTGTTGGTCTTTGAGTTTCATTACTCTGTCATGAATTCGCAATTTTTGGTGATAATTATGAGACGGATAAAAATTCTATAGCAGCATGCTAAATGTTATAGGAAAAAGCTGCATGTCTCGCAACTAGACCTATTTCTTTACGTGGTAGATGGTTTGTCAGTAAACTTAATACTATTTAGTAAAAGAACCTCTGTTCTAAAAGCTTTTGTTTTTGTCATGTATTTCAGGATGGTGGCAAGGAATTTTATCAAGATGTTCTTGATGATCGTGCCAAGAGGGCCGAAGCTTGGCATCGTGATGCTGCAACCCGAGTGCAGTATAGTAGACCAGCAGAGCCTATCACCTGTGCAACTTTTGCTCAAGACGTTCTAGAAGGCAGAGCCAGGGTTTCGGAGATGCATGAACACAAACATCAGCCACTAATATTTGGACCGGCAAGTCTTATAGGTGGAAACCCAACAAGCGAGAGGGAAAGGATGGCGGCTCAGGTTTTCCAGCCCAGTCACAGGTACACCTCCATGTTCTTTTACTTTAATGTGCCAAGCGTAATTTATCACGAGCTCAAATGATGGAAATATCTGGTTTTCGTGTTTGTGATTGCATCTTTCTTCGTGGCAAACATATCATTTGAGATGCTAAATTAAATTTACTGTGCGGCAAGGTTGCCGACCATGAGCATAGAGGAAGCCGGACTGAAGGAGATGGAGATAATGAATACGTGGCAAGAGAGGAACACGAAACTCATGGAAGAAGCCAATTCTGCATGGTACAAGGAACCTATGAAACCAGGACCACCACCGGAGGGGGAAGATGAAGACGATGATGCCGCTCAAGACAGGGCGAGGGCTTGGGATGACTGGAAAGATGATAATCCTCGGGGTGCTGGCAACAAGAAGCTCACCCCCTGTGGATAAAATGGCACCTGCGGGATTCTAAGATTTTGATTTATCGCAAATTAGAAAGTTTTGTATTCGGTATCGTTCTTGTTGTGACTGGATTTACGTTATGTATATTAATGTCACCCAGATAATTTATTTGAATAAAATATTTTCTCATAATTGTTCTACATTTTGAATGTCAAATTCAAATTTGGTTAGGGTAATTCTATTAACAACCCACAATCTTATGAATGCATTTCATGATTTTATTTTTTTCAGTTAAATTTCTATTTTTACTCTGACGAATTAAGTTCTAAACTCCAAAATAAACCCCATCCACCCCCTTATGCCGGTTGCCAACCACCACAGCGTTTGGGCAAAATATCACAACCACTCACCATGCTCTCTCTCCATACATATACATATACCATATACATATATATATATATATATATATCCAATCACCAGCCACTCACCGGTAGGTAATAGGGAATTGGGAGATGAGGTGTGTGAATCAAGAGTGATGGGCAATTCTCAGTCTGTTAGAAAGTCAGTCTTGGATGTCAACTTCTGCGACGTGGAGGGTTTTTGGCTGTGCTGATATTGATGACACCGTGGTCGTCGAGCTAGCTTTTTTGCTGTCATTTGTTTATGGGGATGGGGTGGCTTCAAAAAAATGGAGGACAAAGCTGGAATTTTAGAGGCACATTTTAGATGTGGGGTGTATTCATAAAGATGTGGGGTGCTAATAAAACCACCCTTTGGTTATCCTAGCACATTGACATAATTGTTGACGGAATGACGAGTTAGGGAATTACATTAATTGATTTTTAAAATGATGAGTTTCGATCAATTTTAGAACTACTTGCAATAAAAAAGCGAAAACCAAATTTAAATACTGGTTGATCCTGTCCACACATCATTTTTCTCTCCCGCAAGCACTTGTTAATTTCTATTTAATTTTCTTCAATTCATTCGCACCGATGTTCGAATTCGACCCTTATACAACGGAATCAAGCAAAGAAGATTTGGCTTCTTGGTCTTATCTTGTTTTAGGTAAAGAATCAAATAAAGAGACAACTGTGGAGGAAGCGGAAATAAAATCCAGAAACAGAAACAAATTCCGTTAAAGCTAACAAACAGTTTCTACTGGTAAAACCAAATATCAAGACATCTGAGAAATTACAACATCAACTGAAAACAATGGAAGGAAACTAAACACAATGCCGGCATAGTAATCATCTGTAAGTATACACAATTTGATGCAGTACTTGGAAACGCTTATCGCTAATTGTATAACACAAAATGTAACTTAAGATACGTACAAGAAGCCACCGGGAGGGCTGAGGAGACAGTTACCGGTACACAATCGAAGCAGAGCCTGCGAACGCATTGATTTCGCCAACTTACCCCTCCGAGTGCTTGCTTGTAATGTCACAGAATTGTCAACCATCTTCGAAGCACAAGCAGTCAAGCACAATACAACACGGAAACATCGAAACCTTCCAAAATCCCCCGGAATTCAACTGGCAAGGCACTTGAATCCCCTGCAAACCCACAACCAAATCCCAAACAACACGGCGCAAGCAAACAAGTCGAGCATCAAAACCACCCAAACATGCCTCCTCCAAACTTGCTTGGCCTTTTGGCGGTCACCCGAATGCAAAGGATCACTCTTTTGCGTTGGCAACGAAAAATCCCTAAACCCGCAGCCATTAGCATCGTCGCACACATCCACCTTCTTCTCCATTGCAGTCACATCTTTGCAAAGATCGCCATTAACCTCTCCAGATAACCTCTTCTTCTTCTTCTTCAAACCTCCGTTCGGCTTGTTCCCAAGCAGTGGTGTCAGCACCATGTTCTTCCCTTTACTCGCACTCAAGCTCAGATTCCGACTGGCTGCCGGTGAATTGGGCGAGTCCGAGGCCATTATTTTCTGAATAATCGAATCGAACTGGACTTGCAAGCAACTGGGGGCAAAATTATCCCGAACCAAGATCGACCCACTTCCACTAACCTCCTCAAAATCCGATTTCAACCGGTTTAAGAACGAAAGCGCCTCGGATTGATCGAGATCAGCATCGTAGATAGCGAAATACACAAAAGGGTCATGAATTGAGAAAATGTAAGTTCTTTTTCTTACGGTGTGAGTGAACATGGAATGGTGAGGAGGGGCTATCTCCACGCATTGCTGCGCTAAGTCTCCGAGACCCGGCTCTTTCGAAAACTCGCCGAGAATCGTGACCTTGTGGGCAATGCAGGCGTAGAAAATCAGATTTGGATTCGAAATCATCGATTTGTTCTTCCAACAAAGCCGAAAAATTTCAAGCTTTTCAATCGGAGATTCAATGGATGAAAAGAAAGATGGGATTTCGATTCGGAATCGAGTCCCAGAGGATTTGCATGCTAAATCTGAGTCGTTTCGTGGGTGTTCGATTCGGAAAGATCGAATCTTTCGAATCCCCCACGACTTCGAAACGTTTCTTATGAGTTTCTCTGCTACTCTCTCTCTAGAACATTTCCCGGAGGATTGGATTTTCTTTTGTTTCTTTCTCTCTCTCTGGAAATGCAGAAATCTCTGTGTGCGTAAAATAACTCCTCCGATTGAAGGGAGGAATCAACTGTTGGAATGCGTGGGAAGCGAAGGGAAAAAGAAACGGAATAACGGCTGCTTGTAATCCAAGTGCCCTCGCTGGAAGGATTTATTAAGGATGTGCCCTTCAATTTGCAGCAACCATTCTTGCAACTCTCTCCCTTGGGAAAGGGATTCTCTTTGGATCCTTTCCTCCTAATTCATTGAGTTCGGAGATCTGGATCATTGAATTTTGATCTAACGGTTACAAACAGAAGTCCATTTTAAAAGTTATAAAACTTTAGCTGTTGAATTTCAATGGTCTGGATCCCCCAGATTTTGTGGATTAGGAGAAAGGGATCCGAGCGGATCCCTTTCCTCTCCCTTAGATCATCTCCAACTCATGGAATAAAGCTTAAGATATAAGATGTAAAAGTCCCCCAAACCATCTCCAACCATTGGGCTACAATAACCTCTGAGAAAAAATATCTCTGTGCTAGATTCCCCTTATGATTTAAACCTGGCTTAAATTTATTCTGGATCCGCTAAACTATCATATTTCAATTATTTTTTGTTTTCTATATATAATCTAAACGACTGTGATAAAATGAGATCAACTAAGAATTTGATGGTTCAAAAATAAATATAACGTCTAAAATAATTTAAGAAAATTATTTAAATCAAATTTAACTTAAAACTTTATAAATACCTATGTACTTGTATGATTTTTAATTACTTATCGGAAATTAAATATTTTTAAATAAAAATGTTCATAAAAATAAATTAGGATAATATGCATAAATTTTATTTTCAAAAAAGTTACCCAAAAAAAAAAAGCTAAAATCTTATTTAATAATATTGGGCTAAAATTTTAAGCCATAAAGGTTGAAGGAAAAGAGCAGTTTCTGAGTTATACGGTTATACCATAAAATTTTCTAGCTTAAATTTGTAAGCTTTATCCTCAAGGGTTGGAGATGGTCTTAAACCTTCTCGTTTTATTTTTTCTGTCTTTCTCACACATCATAATGGAAGTAGGGACCAAGGTGGTCCCGGGATCACTTGAAGTCTGGAAAATATATATGTGAAGGTCCTTTGAGGACCCTTCAAATATATAGTATGGGTCCTTTTTGTGTCGGCTAAATATTTGATGTAATACATGCTAGGCATATCTCGATAGGTTGCGTCGACAACACTCCATAAATTCTCTCTATATCACTCGTGACTCATTAGATTGCTTCGACGTATGTCGTTATCTGTTGACATGTGCACAACATGGTTTGGCTGCCGATAACAAGACCGCCAAGAGTTCGACGAAATGCCTAAGTGAATAAACTTTCTTTTTTAGCACGCTTCGCCCTCTGTTGTATTTAACATCGAGACCCTCAAAGATTCAAATCCTGGATCCGCCACTATATCATACAATGGTGTTTGCATTCTAGGTTATCTTTTATAGCTCAACTCAGGGTGGATGAGGACAAGTCAAGACGTGACAAACAAACATGAGGAATCATATAATAGTAATTGATATGTTGTAAATTAAGGAATCTCATCTAGAGTATTGTAAAGTAAAGTTAATTGTGATGTAAAGGACATTCCTCCTTATCTTATGTAAGTAATGGATAAAAGAGGAAGATGTCTTTTGTCCCTTGATAGTTTTACGAGAGGTTCGGGGGAGTTCTTCCTCGGCCTATAAATATGTGTGTATACTCTGTAAGAAGATAGACTTAAATAGAAATTAGTTCTTTATATAAACTTCTCCCGAGTGAATATCCTTATTTGAGTCATCCTTAGTAAAGATCCTTAAATTGATGAAATGTAAAATCTCTCTATTTGGATTTAGCTAACCTGGGACTCGGTCAACAACACCAAGAATTGGTGTCCAAAATCTAAATTAAATTTAGGAAACATGTGGTGCGAGTAGAATGACTCTAACTTTGACTTATAACGAATGTTGTAAAAGTTCTCAAAATCGATTTGAAAACTGTGGGTTATATAATAACTCACAGTTTTTTGTGAAAAAAAAATTGAAATTTTTAGTTTTAGGTAATATTTTGCGTTAGAGTTAAGGAAATTATTGGAAGACCTTTGGACGTGATCCTACCGTTTATTGGATCCCGGAAGTATTTTTTATTGATTTTTAAAGTTGAAAAATAGAAAAATATCTTTAAATTTAGGTTCTAAATCCTTGATTTCAAGTGTTTAAATATGAATTGTAATAGATTTTGCATAGAAAATATATTTTGAAGAACATGAATATGATAGTTTGTTGTTATGGTAAGAGAAATAAAAGAAAAATTAACCAAAATAATAAATATATAAAAAGTAAATAAAAACACTGAAAAAGAAAAAAATTTGAAGGGGAAGATCGGTATGATGATAGCGACTAGGGTCGACGTATGTCGCTAAGTTCTAGCGACGTTTCTCAAAGAGAATCGGTAATATCTACCGATCATATACTTTTTTTTTCTCTCTTTTTTTTCCATTGATTTTTTTGTCTTCCTATGTTACTTTATTTAGATTCAAATACCTTTAGATGTAGGTTTATATTTATATTCTTGTTTTCAAATTTTTTAACATGGATTATAAGAAAAAATTTCATTGAAATACATTTTGTAGAATACAAAGATGATAGTTTGATGTTGTGGTATGGGAAAAACAAAATTTAACATAAATAAAACATAAAATTAATAAAATTAATGGTTTAGGCGTAGAGAGATGTAGCCCAAACTCATGCCCACGGGAAGGCCCAAGGCACATCAGAAGCAATAGAGGCCCATGAGATTTAGGGTTTAAGGGTGTGTGAATAGTAACACCTTGAGTTCAAGTGTTTAGGGGCGTGTTAATAATAACACCCTGGGTTCAAGTGTTTAGGGGCATGTTAATAATAACACCCTGAGATCAGAATTTTTACTCAAAATTTCCGGTTCTTTTGTTTCTTTCTCTCTCTGGAAATGCAGAAATCTCTGTGTGTAATATATCAAGGGTTTAGACTCCTCGGATTGAAGGGAGGAATCAACCGTTGGAATGCGTGGGAAGCGAAGGGAAAAAGAAACGGAATAATGGCTGCTTGTGATCCAAGTGCCCTCGCTGGAAGGATTTATTAAGGATGTACCCTTCAATTTGCAGCAACCATTCTTGCAACTCTCTCCCTTAGGAAAGGGATCCTCTTTGGATCATTTCCTCTTAATCCATTAAGGTTGGGGATCTAGAACATTGAATTTTGATCCAACGGTTACAAACAGGAGTTCATTTGAAAAGTTATAATAATTTTAACTGTTAGATTTAAATGGCCTGGATTTGGTGGATTAGGAGAAAGGGATCCGAAGATGATCCCTTTTCTCTCCCTTAGACCATCTCCAACCCATGGAATAAAGTTTAAGATATAAGCTGTAAAATTCTCCCAAACCATCTCCAACCATTGGGCTACAATAAACCCTGGGGAAAAAATATCTCTATGCTAGATTTCCCTCATGATTTAAACCTGGCTTAAATTTATTCTGGATCCACCAAACTGTTATATTTTGATTATTTTTTGTTTTCTACATATAATCTAAACGGCTGTGATCACATGAGATCAACTCTAAGGATAAAAATTTGACGGCCCAAAATTAAATATAACGTCTAAAATAATTTAAGAAAATTATTTAAATCAAATTTAACTTAAAACTTTATAAATACCTATGTACTTGTATGATTTTTAATTACTTATCAGAAATTAAATATTTTTAAATTAAAATGTTCATAAAAATAAATTAGGATAATCTACATAAATTTTATTTTCAAAAAAGTTACTGAAAAAGAAAAATAAAGCTAAAATCATTATTTAATAATATCGGGCTAAAATTTTAAGCCATAAAGGTTGGAGGAAAAAACCAGTTTCTGAGTTATAGCTTAAAAATTTTTAGCTTAAATTTTTAAGCTTTATCCTCAAGGATTGGAGATGGTCTTAAACCTTCTTGTTTTATTTTTTGTCTTTCTCACACATCATAATGGAAGTAGGGACCAAGGTGGTCCCAGGATCACTTGAAGTCTGGAAAATATATATGTGAAGATCCTTTGGGGACCTTTCAAATATATAGTATGTGTCCTTTTTGTGTCGGCTAAATATTTAATGTAATACATGCTAGGTATATCTCGATAGGTTGCGTCGACAACACTTAGTAAATTCTCTCTATATCACTCGTGACTCATCAGATTGCTTTGACGTATGTCGTTATCTGTTGACATGTGCACAACATGGTTTAGCTGCCGACAACAAAACCGCCAAGAGTTCGACGAAATGCCTAAGTGAATAAACTTTCTTTTTTAGCACGCTTCACGCTCTGTTGTATTTAACATCGAAACCCTCAAAGATTCAAATCCTGGATCGATGACCATATCATACAATGGTGTTTGCATTCTAGGTCATCTTTTATAGTTCAGCTCTGAAAAACAATCATCAAATCATGAACATTTAACTATTTAATTGGTATGATAAAATTTGAGTATATAAATAAGAAACATAGTTCGTTTATTCATTAAAAAACAACTAGATGGCTAAATAATTTTGAATTCATTAAATTTTTTTTACATAGATATTCTTTGAAAATGATAAAAATAAATAAATAAACACTTCCAATCATAAAAAAAAACATTGTAGTATGCGAAAGAAAAAGAAATGAGTTCAAATAAGAAGGTTATTAGTACGTGTTTTTATTATTTTTCAATAGAGAAAGAAAATATTATATTATATTTTAGTTGAAAGATATAATATAAAATAATATTGTAAAAATAAAAGTTATTATATCGTGTAATGTGGAAGGTTCGGTTCGGCGCTCGCTGGCCTGGTTGATGCAAGCACATGTTATCCATTGTTTATATTTTGCTGTGGGGCACGAACTTGTATGCTTCGCATGGCGGTGCTGTGAGTTGGCAAAGCATAAAATTGCATTGGTAAATGATTTCTATGTTTATTCGAAAAATAGTGTTACTTGAGAGAACATCTATTTGAACCGTATTTTATAAAATTATATTTTGTCGATTATATTGAGAATGAGAGTAAGTGGAAGAAGATTGGCACATAGGACGCAGCTCTCACTTTCTTTGCATTTCCATGGCACTCGTGCTTATTTTTAACGTTTGAATTGAAATCGAACAAGAATCAAATACGGAGCGTAAGACTTGGAGCCAAAGTTGTGGTTAGGAAAAGGCTGAAATACCTCTGTGAGTCTTCCCAACTCCAGAAATGATGGATAACCG